CACCCGTTTAATCATCCATTTATTCATCTATTCATTCATCCATCCATCCATCCATCCATCCACTCATTTATCCATCTATTTATTCATTTATTCATCCATTCATTTATCCAAAAAGCATTTGTTCAGCCTCTCTTACATACCAGGCCCTGTTCTTGAAAGGCACTGGATTTGGACTCTGAACATCTGGATTTGAATCCTATTTACGTCCTGTAAAATGAGATAGGCTAGAGGGTCTCTTTAATCCCTTCTAGTCCCAAATCTAGGTTATTCTGATCCTATGCCTTCCCTTCTCTAAGTATATAGGGAGGGGACTATGAGTGTGGAATGTGGCGTATATTGTCACATGAAATCACTGTGTTAGTTTTTTTTTCCTTAACTGATTTTCCTTGTACAGGGTGGGGCATATATTTGGTAAATGACTCTGGTGTAAAAACACAAGGCAGAGCAAAGAACACTAGTTTTGGAGTCAATGGACCTGGATTCAAATTCCATTCTATCACTACCTGAGTCCTCGGCTGAGTTGTTTACTCTCCCTGAGCCTCAATTTCCCCACATATGAATAGAGAGTGTAGAGCTAGATGCCCTCTGAAGCCCCTTCCAGCTCTACATCTCGGGCCCCTGACCAGATGCCTTCTAAGTTTCTTTCCAGTTCTAGTACCCTTTTATCAGGGCTCTAATCTCTACATTTTATATAAAAGGAAACTGAAGCTCAGGAGAATGAATGGGCTGCATCATGGTCCTACTAAGCATCAACGCCAGGCCTATACATTGGCACTAAATTCTGCTTCTTTCCCTCAATACCACGGTCTCTACCAGGTCTAACTTTCTAAGATTCCTATGAGTTTCTGAACTCTCCAGAGACTCTCCAAGGTTGAAAAGAAAGTTATGAAAGTAAGGAGTTCTATGGGGATGGGGGATGGAGGAGACAGAACTATACTTCTTGCTCTTCAAGTACAGTTGAGAACCACAAATGAGTGTTCCATGAGCTTCAGCCACACAATGGCATCTTGGGAAAAGACTTCTCCCAGTGTACAAATCCTGACTAGAAAGATCTCCCCTCACCCCACGTTGTGTATGGTGCCTTCCAGCTTCTGTTTTCTTTACTCTTTATCAGTTCATACAAATCTTCCCATGCTTTTCTAAATTCTTCATACCCCAGACCATTTGGGATGAGTGAACTTGGGTCAAGGTTAGACCTTGAAAATGTTTCACCTGAAATAAGACTATTCACATTTGTCCTATCCATAGCGCTCTGTCTCATACCAATAATCCAAATAGCCCACATTTCTAAAGTGATTTAAGATTTACAAAGTGTTTTCCTCACAGTAGTCTGGAGGTTTGGAGGGAGGGGTTTGAATTCTGTTTTACCTTAAGCAATTTTCTTCTATAAGCCTCAATTTCATTTGAAATGGGGGGGGGGAGTTAGATAAAAAAGATTTCTAGCAAGATGGTAGGGAGACGTGTCGTAAGTGGACCAGCTTTCCCAAATTCCTTCCAGAACAATGAAAGAAACATAAAAAAAGAGAATAGTGGTAAACAAAAATATTTTTAAAAGGCTATCACATAAAAAGAAGAGAAACAGTAAAAGAAATGAGCAAGTTGGGGAAGGGGGGAGACTAGAACAGAATCAACAAATCTTAGGGGCCAAAAGAAACCAAAGAGAAAACACTAGAAGGGGGGGGGGGTGGCCAATTAAAGTCTACAATGACCACAAAAAGCCAGAATTTTCACAAGGCATATCAACTTGGATAACAAATACACAGAACAGATATCAGTAATGAAGGACCATGGCAAAATGATAGTTTTACTACATGAAAAAGGCATGGAAATATAAATAAAACTGAACACTGAGAAAAGTGTCCTACTGGAAGACAAATCAGGAACAGTGCAAAGCAAACATCAAAATAAAATCGAAGGACAATTCAACTGGAAAGATGTTTTATGACTTAGTCACCAAACATGATGGAATTTGAGGACCAATCTTTGAAAGAAAACATGGATTTTCAAACCTAAAATAGTGAAGAAAAAAATCTGACCATTATATTTCAGAGAATCATACAAGAAAAGGTCCCAGTATTATTGAAATTAAGGAAGAGAGGAATTGTTTTTCATATACTTAGGATCTTGCCCTCTGCATTTTACTTCTTTGGGGTATATACCCAATAGTGTGGTTGACAGAACCTAAAAGACACCATTAGCAATAAACTCCAGAGGCAACTCACTCAGACATATTGTCTTCAGATTCCAAAGCCACAATGACAAATAATTTTACTGGTAATCATGGAGAAAAATATTACCTGTCAGGAAAAACCAATATGAATTGCACAAGACTTTATACATAAGATGAGGAACAATGGAAAGAGCTGGAATATGATTGAGAGAAACTGAGTTTCACCCAGCTAGGTTAAGTCTACTTTCTGAGAATAAGAGGACATTTGACATGTCTTAACAATTCTAGGAATTTTTATTTTTATTTTATTGAAGAAACAAGCCTTGGCATGGCATTTGATATACAAATCAACATAGAAGTAGAACTTCAACAGGAAAAATTCTTTAAAATTTTATAACTATGAGTGACTGACAGTGTGAATTCTAATCCAAAAAGGCAGAATTTCAAGTCCTTCTTTTGCAGACCATATTACAATAAAAATAGTCATCAAGAAGGAAACTATGGTTAAGAGATGCATTTTTTTAGACTGGGACCAAAAAATGAATTGCTAGATAATGTTTGGGTCCAAGAACAAATTATAGAAACATTTTTTAAAACTATGGCAAAGATAATGACAATATGAATAAACATATCAAATTTTATGGGATGCAGTTCAAGTAGCTCTCAGGGGAAAAACTATCCCTGAGCATTTATATTAGCAAAAGAAAAAAAGGGAAGATTAGTGAGTTGGGTTTGCAGCTAAAATGAGAAAAATCAACAAATTAATATCTTTATACCAAGCACACAATAAAAAAATCAGCCAAATTAAAAGAGAAATTAACAAAAGCAAGTGAACAACTGAATTTATATATATGTGTGTGTGTATATATAAGTATAAATATATATTATATATATATACATATATAAAACAATCGGGTTCCTGAAAAGACCAATAAAATTAATAAACCATTAGCAAATTTAAGTAAAATGAAAAGAAAAAACAAGCTGCCAAGATAAAAAATAAAATGAGAGAAATCCTTAGAATGAAGAAATAAAGAAAATTCTCAGTGACTATTACACATCGTCATATACCAACAAATTGAGACTAAAAAAGACATGGATGAATATTCACAAAACTATAAAAATTCCCCAATTCACAAAACAAGAAATAGATTAAATAAAGGAACATCAGAAAGAGTAATTGAAAAGGCTGTTAACGAGCTGTATTGTAATAAAACACTCGGGACTAAAGAGATTCACAAGCAAATTCTATCATAAATTTAAAAACATCATCTCTATGCTATATAACAAAAGTTTACAGTTAGATTTACATTTATTTACAGTGT